TGAGGGACCTGGATAAAGGCTGGGGGGCGCTGGCCCGAAAAAGGTTGAGAAACACTGGGTTAAAGCAAAGATCTGACGTAGTAAAATTCTCTCAGGTTTGGAGTATTCAGTCAAAATAAACCCAGCAGTTATTAAATGATAACGCTATGCTGCATTTTATCAGCATCAAGCCGAAAGATAAGAATAAAGTTCATTAAAAATATTGTTCAAAATCTAAAGTACGACGATCAGACTCGGACTGAGTTCTCTGATCCAGTGGAGTCATAATGATCTCATCAATATTCAACTCTAAATCAGACAAAAAACCTGAGATGGTCTAAAAGTTGACAGTAAGGGCCTGATGATTGTAACCAGGATGAGGAAAACCAAAAGCAGCTTCGATGTGGAACAGAATGCAGTTATTAATATGTAGGATTAACGAATAAACCTGAATAAAAAATGGCTGCCACTCCGCCACCTCACCTGGGAAGAATGTGAAAATGTAAATAATTAGAAGTCACATAATCCTGCTGCTGCAGCCTGAACTAATCTCGGATCCGATGCTCCATGAACCGCATTTAATTTTTTTCTGTCTGATCTCCAACTTCCTGTTTCATTATTCCTCCAATCAAAGAGGAGCGTCGTTCCTTTCAGGTCACGTGGTTCCGCTCAGCACCTGTTGACGGAGCCGTTAAAGAGCCTCTAAAGGTCACGGCCCACTCGTGACCCGAGCAGGTGAAAACGCGGCTCTCTGATTGGCTGAGCTGAAGGCAGGTGAGGATGGAGGATGTCACCGCGTCGCTGCTGCTGCTGCTGTGCGGATCCCTGATTCTCGGGCCCACTGCTGGTTCCGGTTCGGGTCCGGACCCTGAGCGCGGCAGGATGGAGCTGCGGCGGGTCCAGAGCCTCGCCGCGCAGCCGCGGTATGGCGGGTGTTGGGCGCGCGCGCTGGAACACCTGGACACGCGCTGCAGGGACATGACGTCAGAGAGTCAGAGCCGCCTGGCGCTGCGCTTCACCCACTGTCACCTGAGCAGGTAAGCAGCTGGTCGGAACCGGGGAGGGAGAACCTGCCGCTTTGGGTTCTTCAGAACCAGAATCCAGTGGGTCTGTTTGCTGCGCTGCAGCAGCAGAAACGGACCCAGAGTCCGGTTCTGTTGAACTCTGCTCAGTCCAGTCACTTCTGATCAGAACCAAGCGGTTCTGATGTTAAAACGTGGCTCTTCCTCCCTCAGGTGGGATGTGATGACATCATCAGGTGAAGGTCACTCATCTATGACGTCACTGTAGTTCTGGACTTACCTGCAGCGGTTCTGTCCAAACATTAAATATTTTACAATTTTCCATTCTTTTTTTTAATATACAAAATAATTTATAGTTTTTTTTATTAAATGCTCAACAAAAATATTACAAATCAAGATTTGAGTGAAATGAAGGAAACGTTTGCAGCTGAGTGAAACCGGACCCGAAGCGGTTCTGGTGTCGCCGTGTTTCCTGCAGAAGGTCTGCCAGGACCAGAACCAGGATTTGGGTCGTTTTCTGATCTCTGCTCCTTTTTACCCTGAAATTAAAACCTAAAATGATATCAGAAACCTTTTGCTCCTTAAGGTGAGTTTAGTTTGTTGATAAAACTCTCCTTTGCTCCTTTGCTCCTTTGCTTTGGGGTCCAGTTGGTACCGCTGTTGATCTGCAGTCAATGGCCACGCAGAATCATTCTGAGGGCCACAGCTGGCCCCCACACCACACTTTGGCAACCACAGTGTTGCGTTTTCTAAAGGTTCTACATTTCATTCTGAAATTACATTTTAGGGTTTTTATGAAGGCAAGTTTCCACCATGAAAGGAAAAATAAAAGCCTGAAAGGAAGTCAGAATTTTGAGTTTTAAAGTCATAGTGACTTTCTGTCTCATAATTATGGCTTTTATTTTCGTAATTATGACTTTAGAACTCCTAATTATGACTTCCTGTTGGGCTTTAATTTTTTCTTTCTTGATGTTAATGTGTTTTTGCTTAAACTTAGTTTTCTGCAAGTGCTGCCACTTTGTGACCGTTTCTGTTTACTACAGCTCAGATCTATGGAGCTAAAACTGTCTCATAATTCACAAATACATTTTTAACCCGTTTCTCTTCAGCTCAGGCAGGGATTTCCCATCCTGCCCTGAGGGGTCAGAGGTCAGCAGGTGTACTGCTGGGATGGATCCTGTGGCCTTCAACACCTACACTGAGTTCTTCACCCACACCCACTCCATCTGCCACTTCCTGCAGTCGGAGGCCTGGCAGAGCCGCACAGAAAGCACCATGTACAGGTGAGCGCGCCGCACTAAGCCCTGTGCTGCGTCTTGTAGGACCAACCAGGAACTTTCCTTGAGCCTTTTGGTTTTAACAGGATTTTGTTTATTTTTACTTAGTTTTATTTGTTGGTGGGACTTTGATTTGTTTCTGTTTATAGAACAAAATTAATATATGCAACATGAAAAAATAGTTTTTCTTTTAAACATGTAGTTTTGAAAAAAAAGCCAAAAATGTTCACCATCATTTTAAAACGAGTTTTCTGCCTCTGCCAGTTTTACAGACAAAAAAAAGTAAATAATGATCACATGTTGTTTCTAAGCTAAACATGTAATGTTGAGTTAATAATACAGAACTATTTAAATTTTGATTTATGAATAATAGTTATTATCTGGTTTCCTCTGAATCATCTCTGTTCAGATAATAAATAATTTTTATTTGAAACATTTACGTCCCAACAGTAGCTGACACTGGCCTGGTGCAAACATTAACTCTAACATTCAGGCTCATTCAGCTCTGTTTGTTTCTGCTGACCTCTGACCTGCTGCCAAACTGTTAGCATTATGCTGACATAATGCTAACTGTTAGCATTATGCTGCTAATTGGCTACATTAATGTGTGTTTAGGCCAGACATGGACAAACTATGGCCCCCGGGCCACATACGGCCCGTTATGCTTTTTAATCGGGCCGCCGAACTTTTCCAAATTATCGTAAAAATTCATGATTGTGGAAAAACCGCATTCATTTCCCTTTTCCCTGCAATACCCCAGTTTCCCCGATAGATGGCACACTAGTCTAGACACATTTATCTTTGTTGGAGTAACTTTCCAACTGCCTTCCCCCTCTGCCCCCTCGATAAAAATGAGCGGACCAAAGAAAAGAAAAGTGGACACTGAGTGCCGAGTGTTTAAAAAAGAGTGGACAGTAAAATATTTTTTTGCTGAAGTCCGATCAACGGCGGTATGTCTGATATGCCAAGAAACGGTTGCAGTTTTCAAGGAGTACAATATCAGCCGTCACTTTGCCACAAAGCATGCTAACTACGCTAGCAAGCAATCAACACAAGAACGGGCGGCTACTGCTCAGAGGTTGGTAGCTAATTTAAAGACTCAGCAGAACTTTTTTTTACCGACAAACTGCGATTCAAGAGTCAAGTACCAAGGCAAGTTTTTTGCTGGCATTCAAGTTAGCAAAGGCTAGCAAGCCTTTCTCCGAAGGTGAGTTTTTGAAAGAATGCATGTTAGAGGCAGCAGATCTCTTATGTCCGGAAACCAAAGGCAAGTTTGAAAAAATCAGCCTGTCACGCAGGACAGTGACTCGCCGTGTGGAGCCGATTGATGAAGATTTAGTCAGCCAGTTAAACAAAAAGTCTTTTAATTCATATTCACTAGCACTGGATGAAAGCAACGACATAAAAGACACTGCTCAGCTCCTAATTTTTATCTGAGGCATAAATGACAGTTTTGAGATTATGGAAGAACTTTTGAGCATAGAATCACTGAAGGGGAAAAACGTGGAGAGGATTTATATGAACAGGTGTCTGCTGGCATCGAGACAATGAAGTTGCCTTGGAGTAAACTTGTCGGTGTCACCACGGATGGATCACCAAATTTAACTGGAAAAAACGTCTGAAAAGAATTCAAGATGAAGTGAAAGAAGAAAACCCTCACCAGGATGATATTTTTCTTCACTGCATCATCCATCCAGAGTCTCTGTGTGAGTCTGTATTGCAGCTTAATCATGTCGTCGATCCAATTGTAAAACTTGTTAACTTCATACGAGCAAGGCGGCTTAATCACCGTCAGTTCATAACGTTTCTAGAGGAAACCGATGCGGATCACCAGGACTTACTTTACCACTCTGGTGGTTAAGTTTGGGGAAAGTGAGTAGATGAGTTTGGGAGCTCAAAGAGGAGATTCTTTCATTTTTGGAGCTCATGGAGAAATCTGATGAATTCCTGAGCTGAGAGATGAGGACTGGCTTTGTGACTTTGATTTACTGTGGACATATTGTCACACATGAATGAGCTGAACGTTGAGCTGCAGGGAAACGATCAGTTTGTGCACAACATGTATGTGAGAGCCTTCAAACCCAAGCTGGCTTTATTCTCCAGGCAAATGTCAAACAAATCTTTCACTCATTTTCCCACACTGGCCTTGCAGAAGCCCACCCGAAACGTGAAGAAATATTGCAAATCACTGGAAGACTTGCACAGAGAATTCTGCCGTCGGTTCACTGATTTAGAAAAAATTGACAACTCACTTCAGCTGGTGTCCTGTCCCCTGTTACAAGACCCTGAAACAGAACCTCATGAGCTCCAATTGGAGCCGATCGATCTTCAGTCTGACTCCATCTCAAAAGAAAATTCCAAGTCTCTTAAACTGAATGACTTTTATGCTTCAATTAATGAAGCCACGTTTCCAAACCTCCGGAGGATTGTTTGGTTGGACCGATGTGTGTGAGCAGACTTTCAGTGTCATGAACACCAACAAAGCTCGTCACAGATCCCAGTTAACTGACCAACACCTCAGATCTATTTTGAGAATTGGCACAACAAAAATAACCCCAGACTTTGATGCACTGGCAAAAAAAAGGAGAACAACAACATTGTTCCCACTGAAATGTGTTTCTCTACTGTGTTATAAAAAAATAGCAACTCGCGCATTTATGTACAGCAGCAGTACAGTAGCTTAATTAACATGCTGCACATCGCTCTCAATTCATAGACCCTTTTCTTGCTGGGCAATCATATGTTTTGAGTGTTGAAAGTGATTCCATTGATCTTTTTCCACTAAATGTTGATTTCATTAAATTTGCATCTTTACTTGTGTCTGTTTTTTGTAAATTTTAACCCCCAGGTTTGATAAATTACATTGCGTGTCCAAATGGTCCTGGTCCGGCCCCTCTGTCAAATTTTAGAACCTATTCTGGCCCTCAAGTCAAAAAGTTTGCCCACCCCTGGTTTAGGCTGACTGAGGCCTCTGCAGGTGTTGCTGAGCAGCTTCAGTCCACCAGACAGATGGCCAACGAGCTGATGGAAGCCCAGAGCGTCGCCTTACAGGCACAGAAAGAAATCCTGTCCAATGGAGAGGAGCTACGAGCCACCCTGAGAGACTCGACTCAGGGTAAAATACACACAGAGCCTGCTAGACTAAACTCGGGGTAAAGGTCTCGTTTTGTTCAGAGATCATTCAGTCGGTTTAGGAATCGTTCTGATGGATCTCAGTTTGCTGATTGTCCTCACCTGTCCCCTGCTTCCTCTCCCACCCCTCCAGGTGTGCAGGCGGTCTTCTCTGACCTCAGCAGCGCCTCCAGGCAGCAGCAGGTGGCGCTGTCGCAGCTCTTCCAGCAACTCTCCTTCCTGCAGAGCTTCCTGCTGATGGAGGCTCACAGCCTGACTTCTTGCTGCTACAACGCGGCTGCGCTCTGCACCGCCTACCTCATCACTTCCACCCCACGCTCCTCCAGGGCCAGGTAGCTCCGCCCCCTTCCCCGTTACCTGCTCCTGCATGTTTGATTCTACAGAGGCAGTTCCGGCTTCCACCAGCAGGGGGAGGAGTTGCACTGTTTACTAGTAAAGCTGCAGCTTGGATTCAAGATCCTGAGAAATCTGTAGAGCCTTCAAAATCAGAACATCAGACAGGTGACCTCTGAGTGACCGCTGCACCCCCCCTCCCCCCCTCCTCTGGGTCCAGGCTGCTGCTGCTGGTTTTGGTCTGCGTCAACTTCTACTTGGAGAAGAAGATCTACCAGCATGTGCTGAGCTCCGACCAACCAGAACACCTTCATGTGGTTGGTAGACTCACCTTGGGGCGGGGCTTATGTGGGGGGTGGTTGTCTTCTGGGAAATAATTGGTTGTTTTGTCCAATGCTCTGAAACTGCACATTGACCAACAAAAACAGGAAGTGACCCAGTTTAATCAGAACATGAGACGATGTGTTCAGGGTTTTCTGGAAAAATGAATACCAGAAGCAATAAATAAATTAATCACCAAGTTGCCACTGATCCCAGACTGTTTTCACTTCCTGTGCTGCTCAAGAGAATAAATAATTGGGTCACATGATCACAATCATGGTCACAGAGAAGTTGATTGGCTGAAAAAGCTTCCTGGTCACATCTTCCCTCAGCACGACAAGGAGTTAGCCAAATACTCAAAGAAAAAATTAATGATGACAGTCATGATGATACAAGAATAAAGTCGCAATAATATGAAAACGGGTGTAAAAACGAGTCGCAATGTTACAAAAACAGTTGGAGTAGAAGAGTTGTAGTTATAATACAAAACTAAAGTCGTAACATTGCAGAGTTTGTGTAAACTAAGTCGTAACATTGCGTGTTTCTGTGAATAATTCAGGAGCAGGTCTCGGTGTACGTTGCTGCGCTGCGGCGCCTCTCGGTGTGTGTTGCCCTGTGTGTTCTGCTGCTGGTGTGTGTTCGCTACAGAGACCCGGTGCAGCAGAGCCTGGAAGTGCTGCAGCAGCTCAGAGAGACACAGAGCAGCCTGCAGGAGGCGTTGCGGCGTGCAGGTGAGTGTCCAGGTGAGACCTGGTCAGGTGCGTCAGGGCGGGGCTTAAAGGAGCTGCTTGTCGTTTACAGAGAGGTTTACGCAGGAGAAGAAGTTGTTGGAGGACCGTCAGCTGCAGTTGAGGGTGAGGTCAACAGAGAGCGCACCTGAACACACCTGGATCACCTGCTAGTTAATTCTTAAACGGCGCCACCTGCTGGTTGATTTCCAGAGGACAGCAAGAGCAGAAAGACTGTGGAGAAGAGAGGAAGAGGAGTTCAGTATGATGTCATCACTGGCTGCAGGCTCCTCCCACATGCCACCTTCAGGTCAGCTGACTGGAGGGGCGGAGCTAAAGATTCGGGCCTCTCTGGCGACACCTGGAGGTTTGCTGTGGAAAAGTCAGAGCTCAGAAGTTTTTAACCTTTAAGTCATTAAAACCAGCAGGTTCTGGAACCAGAAGCATCCAGGTTCTGGTTCTGGTCTGAGTTTTGGACGGATCATGTTCTAAACTGAGATCAGCTCCGTCTTGTCCTCCATATTTAACATTATTTTTATTCTCTGCAGTTCGTTCTTTAAAATGTTAAACTTTGGATTTTGTTTTATGGGATAAAACGGACCGTTGGCTGGAGAGGCACCAGCTCTCCTCCCGACCCACTAAGGGTGTAAAGAAAATGGATGGATGGGATAAAAATTAAATGTTGAATAAATAAATATAATTACTAATGCACGTTTTACCGCGATGCTGCCTGTCTCACCTGATGACCTCTGACCTCCCTGGTTCTCCTTAAGGTCAGAGCGCCCGTCTCCTCTGCCGCTCCTCTTCCCATCATGCTTCAGTCCAGACTCCGCCTCCCCTGGTGGAGGACAGGAAGGTGTGTCCGGTTGTGGAGGTTCCTGTCGGGAAGAACCCGGTTCTTCGCCCCCCGCCGCCCCGCTACAGCCTGAGGAGCCGCCGCCGGTCAGACGTAATCTGAGTGACGTCATCAGTGATGTCATCAACGATCTGCAGCTGGAAATGATTTTTTTCATTTTTATAACTATTAATAAAAATGTTTTTAATAGACTCATATGCAGGTCAACAGCAGAACAACGGTCAGGTGGTTCTGGTCCGGTCCCTCTGAGCAGCTCCGTAATCCGTTTGTTGCACCCAAACAGGCTGGCTGTAACTTAGCATCGCTATGCTAACTCTTACTCAGTCAACATATCTGACTCATTACTTCCTGTATGATCAGTGATGTCATCAGTGTGTTCCTCTAATCCAGGGGTCCCCAAACTAC